TGTCATTAAGAAGAGGGAGCTGAAACTAGAGAATTTTTGTGAGGTAAATTATTCAATATTCCAGAGGAAATATCTTTTTTTGTGATTATTAAACAAGTCAGTCATCAAGTAAAATGTGAGTAAGTTAAATAATTAAAACTAAAGTGGAATTAAGCATTGGGGAAAATTCCAAAAAGTACTGTTTGGTTTCTAAATCTGTCAGCAGTTTTTCTCAAACATAGTGTTCCTGAACTTTACAGAAAACAGCACTGACACAGAATTAAGTTAGCGACTATAATAGAAGTATACATTACTATTGATGAATAACTAGCAAACCAATAATAAGTACAAAAAAATGCCATGGTTTATTATATAAATTTGTAATGCTATTATTACGCAGAATTCATAGCAACAGCTCTGCTATTTGAAGTATTTTTATTTTTATTATTTTACATCTAATTAGTTTTTATTTCTCACCTGAACCTTAATAGTTCAGTTTTTTTAAGCCCCTGGGAACTCTTACTTAATTATCCATGTTTCTTGCTAAAACCAGTCTTTTCTTATTGTGTCTTTTGTGCAGCCTTTTCTTCCCACCTTGAGTTCAATCATCTGTTTTGGTTAAAGAAAAAAAAGAAAAACCTCATGTCAAGCACGGCCTTCAGGACTGAATCCAGAAAAAGTTTTATCATTTTTTTTCTCCGGCCCTTATCTCTTTGGCGTGTCCTTCGAAAGCTGTATAAAGACGCGAGAAACTCTTTCGATACTTTGCTGTCTCTGGCAAAGACAGACAACATGCTGCCTGCTGTGGTGAAGCTCTGCTGTGGAATATCCTACCCACACCTTAGGAGCATGTCAGGTAAAGCAAAGAAGGATTAGAAAACACAAAGCTTCCCTGTGCTCCATTCAGATGCTATACATTCTGATCGTTCTTCCTCCCACGCTAACCTGCAGGACTTCAACGCACAGCCGTAGCAGTGATAAGCAAGGAGATCACACAAATGAAGCATTGGGCGCAGATTAAACATCACATTGGAAAACCTGCAGGTATTGAAACAGGTTTGTTTCTACTACTAAATGTTTTACGATGAAGTTTTACTCATCCAAGTTGTTTGCAGAGCCCAAAACAGAAGTGGCAGTGAGCGAAGATCAGCTGTTTTACATACAACATGGCAAGGAAGCACTGAGGAAAGCTGTCAGCATGTTGGAGGACAGAGAAGGGTGGAAGCTGGAAATTCGAGAGGTAACATCTTTGTACAAACTTTTTTGGGTGTCTTAAAATGTACCCTTATTGTCAAATTAGCTTATTTTAGTCCTTCCTACAAGAATGTAAAAGTTGCATGATGTCTCATCTTGTTTAGAACAATGGTGATGTGATCTGTAGCAAAGTGATGCCAGGGGCTGGGAAGGTCTTCAGGCTGGAGGCGGTATTGGAAGCCAGCTTGGATGACCTCTATGACCTCCTGTTTGTCAGAGTTGAGAACATCCACGAGTGGAACCCAAGTGTACAGCGAATCAAAGTGAGCTCAATATCATTAAATAACTTGTGAAAACCAGGAGCTGACAATACATGTTTTATCAGTTGCAGATGTGAGACTTGAAAAAGTTCCACTGGGGAGCCTTACCGGAGATTTCTGTTTGTTTTTATTATGGGGTGGGGGGAGTAACAGTTGAAACTGAAACGTGAAGCATTGACTCTGGCTGCTGTCCATGTCATGTGAAATTCCCCAAAACTTTTAAATGAACTTTATTTCACATTGCTCTCATTGTGGTGATTATCCTAATCACTTATGAATATTTTCTACCACATTTTTTTCTTTCCATTCAACTTTCTCTCAATACGCTGGGCCACAGCACAATGTGAACAGATAGCTTCTTTAGCAATTACATAACTATTTACATTTTGACCTAAATTACTAGAATAGTTCAGTTTTTTAAGAGCACCTTTTTGCTTATTTCAGCTTATTGCTCATGTCTTTTTTTTAGTTTTGTGGGTTATTAAACATACAAAACTATTATAGAAAAGCCTGATGTGGTTTTAATGCATGTTTGTTGGGTTGTAGGTTTTAAAGCGAGCTGGACCTGAAACAATCGTAACTCACGAAGTTTCGGCTGAGACAGCAGGGAACCTCATTGGACAAAGGGATTTCCTCAGTGTCAGACACAGCTGCAGAGAAAAATCCTGCCTTTATCTAGGAGGAGCAGCAATTCAGCTGGAGTCATTCCCACCTCAGACTGGATTCGTGAGGTATGTTGTAATCAAGCCAAACTCCAAAACCCATTTATCATTTAGTGTTGAAATTTTCTGAATTGTGCTGAGTTCACAACAAAAAACATCTACTTTGATTAGCTTTGACATTTAAACTTGTTAGAAAAAAAAACAAAACAAAAAAACTCTGAAACATGTGTGCAAAACCCACTAATGTCAGAGATACAATGCCTTGCAAAAGTATTCATATTTACTAAATGCTTTTACTGTTTAGAATAAATAACATATGCATAGTGTATACGTGGAAAAAAATAGCTTGAGTATTTTTTACAAATGGCAATCTGCGTGTTCAGCTTCTTTTACTTGGACACCCCTAAATGAAGAAAACATGTTGAAGACAGTTCTCTAGAAAGATGAGATCAGAATGACACATTTTGGTTTACCTGCAAAATAGTATGTGTGGCAGAAATTTTACTTCACATTCATAAAAGTCTTAATATGTTTGTTGAGCAAGTAAAATTCATATTAAGTGCATACATATTGTTTGGTTGCAACATCTCTGTGTTTGGAAAAAGTGTTTTATTAAAGATGATCAGTTAAGGTCATGAAATGGAAATGACACATCAAACAAATGCAATGATTATCCAAGACAAGAGCAATAGTCAAATATTCAGATTTTTCATTTTTAATCTTTTTCGGAGGTGAGGAGTGCATATTTTAGGTAACTTGTAAGCACAGAAACATATTAACAATATTAGTAGTTAACTAGGTAGGTATTTCATCATAGTGATATTCGGTCAGTATCATTTTTTTATTTTATGTTCATAGAAATAACAGATTTTTTCTGAACTAAAGATAAGATGTGGTTAAAGCAAACAAGAATGTTACTAGTGGCAATTTGTGTAGACACGAAGCCAATTTAAATGCTCTCCTGCTGTTAAAATGTGTTTGACTGACTTTGACCGCCTTTTGGCTTTTAACAAAGGAAAGTTAAAAGAATGTGATGCAGGGATGCATGACATTCATTATATATGTGTCATAATTAGCTTTTTATTGAACTGTAATGTTCAAAACTTTCTTCTTATTATTTTTCTAATACAGAGCTGAGGATGGGCCAACCTGCATCGTTATTAAAGCTCTGGATGGGGACTCAACGAAAAGCAGCTTTACATGGCTCCTCAACATGGATGTAAAGGTGAACTAATGAGCTTTTTCATGTAATAAATCTTTCATTATGTAGCTTTTGTTCTATGGATGACTATTAATTAAGCACAATACAAAAGAGTGCCAAGATTGATGCCAAATTGAGATAGCCATGATGCCAACAGAAATTATTTCAACTTGGATGCAAAGTACTATGTATGTAGGAAGATAAACTGCTTGAACAAAGCATCCCAATATAATCAGAGTTTGTGAACAATAATTTTGCTACATATAGGACGATCCTGAAAAAAGTAAAAGCTGCAAAAGTCTTGAGACTGAGGTGAAGGTTGAACTTCCCACAAGAAAACTGAGTCTTAACCCTGTAGCCAAACGTACTAGAAGATCATCTGAACAAACTAAAAACTCTACATCTATTTCTATACATCTACTCTATCTGTGTTGGACTTTTTCACAGAATCCAATCAAAATACAGCAAATTTTGTAGTGCAAAATTTCCCAACATTACTATCTTACTTGATTTGTTTCTTCTGCATTGGTGCATATTTGTAAAAGAAAGTTCAGGCAGCCTAATACAGACTTTAATTATAATTTTTTTCCTCAGGGCTGGCTGCCTAAGTCCATTGTCAATCAGGGTTTGCCTCGAGCTCAGCTGGATTTCACAAGACATCTTCGAAAACGTCTCAGTCTGAGATGACTGAGTCCTCTTGACTTGTCACACTGCAGCAGCACCTTGTCCTTGTTCAAAGAAGGTGGGGGCATAGTGACAGACTGCTGCCTGGTTGATATGACCTAATTGAAGAACAGCCAGCAGAAGGGAGAACCAGCTTGGTGGATGGAAGCTGGATTATAATAGGAATAAATGTCAAATTGTGCCACTTAAACCTCAAAGATTTCCTGTTTAAGAGCCACAACTTGTCTCTTGATACATGACACCCTGCAAATGACTGGATAGAATTAATAAAGTGCTTAAATGCGTGTGTACTGGCTGACTTGTTTTTACTTGTACTAACAAATATAGAGTGAACACATTAAGAGCAAACTATACAACACATGTCTCATTACAGGAAGTGTCTGATACATCTGCATTAATTGATTTAGAATGAAATGAGCTGTTAAATAAAGGTTTTAGGATATAAAATCTTATTCAGAGCAGCTGTTGTGGTCTCCATTCACATAAAGTGCCCATCATTTTTTTCACGCTTTGTCACAGTACAATAGACTTCAATATATTTCATACATATTTCACTTCACAAGTGTAAAAGTTTGTTTGGACTTTGTAGTGCCATCGTTATTATTTTTTTAACCAATCAGCTGATTTCTGAAGGACATCTGTGGTACTGGATTTTACTTTGGGTATCAGAGTGAAGGGAGCTGAAAGCACCTAAACACCACAGTTTTCATGTATTTATTTGAAAAATCCTACTAAACCAAGTACCATTTCCTTTTCATGTGACAGTTATGCTCTAGTTTGTGTTGTGTCTATAAAATAAAACCCTAATACAACACATTAATGGCTGTGATGTAACAAAATGTAGTGCGGAAAATCGAAGGCCTGTTCATACTTTTGTAAGGCACTGCGTTGTTACAAATTGAAACAAGCTTAACTAAAATAAAAAAGAGCAGTGAAATAACAAAAAAAAATCATTGTACATACTTTTAAATGAATTTTACTTTGTTCACTTTACCACTTAGAAATTCAATAAATATTAACACTTAAAGCTTTCATTCATGTACGTATATACAAGAACTATACATTGAACATAGTGAAGTTGTTAGCTCGAGAGCAGGAACTGTGTAAAAGTATTTCCAGCTTCAGTTCATGGACTTGTAGCATTGTCTATTGTTTCTAATTCCAAATGCTTTTAACATGTAATTTACACTATGTACATTATCTTAAAATTGTGGGAGTTACAAAAATATCATAACATGTTCTTTCTGAAGTTTTTCTTTTTTTTTTTGTTAGTCCTTAAAGCATCAAGTCCCACAAAGGTGAACAGAGGACATGCTACAGTACGAAGGGGTTCTCTTGCAAAAGTCATAATTTGGTTTCATTTAAGATAAATCATCATTTGACTTGGAAAATAAAATAGCAATAAAAAAAGAGCACCACAGGCAGGGAAGCAGTGAGGTCCCTGCCAGAAATGCAGACCATAAAATTATCAGTGTGCCACCAGAAAAAAAATACACACTTAAAAAAATTATGTTATTGATTTTAGCTGTGAAGCTAAAATGAAACAAATCAATACAAAAAACTTTTTTTTTTTAATTGCTGGGTTTGCATCATCTGCTTCTAGGTTCAATTTGGATAGCAAGATTTATAATATGACTAAAATAATGCAAGACAGTGAATGCCTTAATCTTTAATACTAATTGGCAATGTCACATCAGTGCTACTTTTCAACAAGAATCTGTAAGCCTGGGAAAAATATGGAGCTTAGTTGCTTGAAAGCCTTAAAAAAAGTTTGCTTTTCTGTAGACTGAAACATAAAACCTCATTGCTGTTAAGATTATAAAGTATGCAGATTATAAATTCTAAATATGTTAGGAAAGGTGAGAAATAAGGGCTGAAGTACTCTAAAAAATAGCCTCTGCTATTCTTTTCAACGGTAATTTATTCATTTCCAACATAAGTTTTAGTCTTTAAACACATTATGTACAGCCCCTTCACTCTTTTAAAGAGTGAAGGAATCAGCTTTTGACCTGTCAAATTATTTTGGTTTCATAAATTGTATTGTTATCATCAATTCTATTTTTTGTTTGATTTATTTTATTTTACTTTTTAAATAATGCACCATGGCCATCTGATAAAAAATGAATGAATTATTCTGTAATACAGTAGATTTATCCACCCAGTAAAAATGGGTTTCTACTTAAAAAATTATTATTTTTAATAATTTTGGTATTGAAATAGAATTGAATTCAATCAATATGGGTGCCAATTAAACCTCTACTGGGTATATTTGGGTGATAATTTATGATTAAGTTAAAAAAAAATGAACCAGATGAAGTCCTGTGGTGGTGCAGGGGTAAAGTCAACAAAAAGCCCTCCACATTCGGAGGCCTTAGTCCTCAACACGACCATTGCAGGTTCGAGACTTGGCCAGAATACCTTAGCTACACATCTTCTCTCTTCTCTCTCTGTTTCCTGTATAATCTCTATCAAATAAAGGCTGCTAGAGCCAATGAAACCTTTTTCTAAGTGAACCAGATTATCTAAAGTCCAACCTGAAGATTTCTTGGCACAAAGAGGTAATGAAGAGATCAATTATTTTCCTCATGATCTAATAACAATTCTGTTTTTATCCGGAAAAGGGCCAACAATTGTTCTGGTGTTACACTAATGAAGCTATGGTGGGCACATGCACCAACATGTTCACAATCCAAGTTCAATAGTAGTTCTAATGCACTTGAAAAAAACAGGCTAACACAACTGTACACAGATATAAAACATGAATGTAGCTATGCAGTCATCACATTTTGAACATGTCCTGTAGTCTGATTAGTTTACAGCACCTGTGTATTGACTTTTTCTTCTTCTTCTTCTTCTGCTTCATATTTTAAGCACAGAGAACAGAGTGTGTGCAGATGCTTCACACATTTTGCTCTGAGGTTTTGATGAGGTAACCATCACTGGGCTTGTCAGGGTTCACTGGCATACAGAAAAACATTGTTAAAAAAACACAGACAAGAAGTGAGCTGACTTTTCTATTCAGTCCCACTAATGCTCACAGTTCATTGATGAGCCAACAAGGTTCTGTGACTTGAGTCCCTCTCTGATCCTAAATTGTCCCTTCTTGATCTGGTGGCAACAGGGCCTAAAGTGCTCATCGGATTGCGCTCTTTCGATACACCTCCACTCGAGTCTTGCTTGGGCTGCTGCGGCCCTGGAGGTAGACGAGTATCCATGTGGGAATCTCTCCTCTCTTTGTTTGGTAAGGAGTCGATGGTGGGATGTGGGGACAGAGCAGCATTTGTTGGTGGAGGAATCTTAGCAGCGGCAGCCGTGGTTGGCGAAGGGATGGTGGAGAACAACTGTCGTCTCATGGTTTTAGTGGTTTGCGGCAGGCTTGGAGTGGTGGATGCCAGCCACGATGCCTTGGCTGAGGCAGAATGGGACGGTGTGGAGGTCTCAGCTTCAGTCTTGGAGCTGGAGTCAGGAACATGTGTAGTGTCGCTTTCCTTTTTGTTGCATGACTCACAGCAAAGCTTATAGTAACCAGGGATGGAACAGTAGCGAGCCAGAACTTCCATTTGACAGAAAATTGATTTATCCCCAAGACATGGCTCATCTCGAAACAGAAGACAACATGACATTACTAAGCAAAACATTTATGTAAGAGATGCATCAAGAATTTACACAGCGACAAGAACTAACTAATATTGAGCTTAATCAAAAACTCCAATAGTCAGTCAGTGAATACACTGCTACATGGAGCGATTGCTTTACTCCAACAAGAACATACATCGGTCTGGACAATTTTAGTGACGGGCAAAAGTCAAATTCAGCTACTTTCAAAATCTGTGATGATGAAAGAAAAGCATAGAAGGTGGAAAAAGGAGGAAACTGTATCTTTTAGAGGACATATGTGTGCATTCATTCGAGGTGAAACTTCAACAGAAAATGTGACTTTTGAGAGATCTTTGGAAATCCCAGAATTTAAAAGTATATATTTTCTCTGGAGAATACACTCAGAGTTTATGTCGTTTTAATTGTGCTAAATGCTAATATTAGATGCTAAAGGCAGTTTGAACAGAAGCTCTCTGTGACGTTTAGAATAAGCCTGCCAAAGCTTTACAAAACACGAAGCATGAAAATAGTGTTTTGAGATTCCAATCAGTTCATCTCCAGATATTTTCAGGTTTGTAAACGTGATTGTTTTAGTAACAGATTTCAAGTCGACTTACTAGATGAAAGTTTCTGGAAGGGGCTTTCAGAAACACCATGGAATACTGCATTGTCCTTCATTGTAGAATTATCTGTAGTTTGAAAAATGAAAATAAAACTGTTAGACCATGACTATACAGTAGAGGTAACAAAGTAATAGGGACAGCAAAGACACGATAAGCTGCTGAACATGCCAAAAAAGAAACACAATATCTTATTGCATTTTCCAGAGAAGGCAAAAGAAATGTTTGCCTCACGCTGTTTGAGGACAGAGCAATAAAACAAAAGCTGCAGTGGCTCATCACTGAAAGACCATTTTTAATTGAAAGAAAGACCCCTAAAAGATCTAGTACCACAGTTCTGCACCCACAGAGAATGCTCTAAGAGCCAAGAGTGCTTTGAACTCTTGGAGCAAGTCATCACAAAAATTGAAAATTATAATTAAAGACAACAAACCCTGCTATAAACAGGAGCCTCTAAAAAAAACTGCAGATTTCTGGAGAAGAAAAGAGTGCTGATTGAATTCCTTGAATTTAAATCAGCAAACGAAAACTTCAGCAGTACTGTGTTTGCTTTTCAATATGCCTACTTCTCTCTCTCCCATTGCTTTTCTCAGCTTAGTTTCAACCAATAACTGAGAAAAAAAAAGATAAAGAAAAGCCAGAGGTTACTGAAATTATGTCATAACTTAGGGTCACAAAACACCTAAATACTAAAAAATTTCAAAAACTTTGATTGAATTTCTTTTAAACCGCTTTTGCTACCACGCAGGTAAACCTTTGCAAAATACACAGCATCTTGCACAGCTAATTTCCCCTTTTACAAGTAAAATTTGAACAGTGGCCTACATGTTGTCATTCATGACAAGCTGTAAGTCAAATATATTCATACTTCCACCAATTATTTACGTGCATCATTGCTTGTTGTAAAACTGCATCTCACACAGAGAATATCATGCTGTGAAGAGCATGTGAGCACATTCATATGTAAACAACCTGAGTCCCCTGACATTGTTTTGTGGGTGTATAAAAACCTGCCCAGCATGTCAGGCTGGTGGTTTTCTTAATCAATTTAATTCTGGTAAATCAGATGCATTTGGAATGTTGTCATCAATTTTATTCCAGTTGTCAAAGATTGGTCTTTACACTGTGGAAAAGTTTACCAAAGCCTGAATGTTGTCTTTGTGTTCGCAACTGACCATGCCTTAATGCCTTGAAGGATGTTTATAATGGTTAGGTCTTTTTTTATTATTATTTTGCATAATTTCTTTTAATTGCATAAATTATTTTTGTTATTTTTTTAAATGTGAATTTTATTTTGTATGCCTGCTATTTTGAACATCATTCTAAAGATGCATCTTGAACAAAATTCTCATTATTTCATGAGACAATGAAATAATGTCTCATGAAATAAGACATTTAAAAAAATAAATAAAAGCAAATTATTTGAATTCCTTTTTTAGACCGGAACCAGTTCCTCCATTATTATTATTATTATTATTATTATTATTATTATTATTATTATTATTATTATTATTATTATCACAGTTCTGATTACACAGTACATACCTAAAAAGTGAATTTTATTTATTGTGTTCACTCTTTGATGGGTTCAATTTGTCTTTAATTCTGGACTCGATACTCCCTCCCATTATTTATCATTGAAACAACCCACTTCCTGTTGACATTAGTCGTCTCTCACCTGAACATGGACTTAGTTTGCAGATAAGCACAGTTTCTGGCTTCTCATCCTCACATTCTGTGACAGCGCTGTCGCTGGCCTTGCAAGCCACCTGCCTTTGCTGAATCCCTTCACCACAGGTCACTGAGCACTGCCGCATAGTAGACAAAGACAAAAAGTACAAGCAGAAACAGTTTACTTGAGGTTGACATTTATGTACACTTGTACATTTTGCACTTTTTTTTCCAATAAAACCAAAACCTTGATTTTAAAAATCTACCTGTCATTCACACAATGGATATAAATACAATTTTAGAATCAATATTGCTCAATAATAAAACTGAAAAGCACTCCAGTCAGTTTCTGGAAAGATCTTAAAAAAAAACACTTGGAATAAGTAAGACAAACATTGATAATAATCATGAGGAAAACCTTTTGTTTTGTTAAAAAAAATCACCACTGACTCCTGGTGGTTTACTATAATTGTAGCTATCATATTATTATTTTTTTCTATGTATGTTAATCAGATTACAACTTTAATTTATTATGTTGATAACAAAAAGCTGACCTCATTACCAATTTTTCTTTGATTTTCTTACCTGAGACCATGCCCCTGTTCTCCACTGAGCGGGACATGCAGTGTAGTTACACACTCTTCTCAGCTCTGGCCGATCGCCTGTGCAGTGTTTGCTGTGGACAGCCCTGCTGGTGCCATTGAAGAGCGACTGCATGCACTGCACTGCCCTGGTCTGGTAGCCGAGCTTCCCACAGGTCTTACTGCAGGGACTCCAATCTTCCACCACCCATCTGCTGATACATCAAATGTGTTAAAATACTCTGCATTACGATTGGTGGTAAGCTTACTGTTATGATATCTTTGACTGAAGTTCACTTACGCGGGCTGACTGCACTCTTGCACGTTGCAGCGTTTGCGGATGGGTTTAGGCTTTTTGCTGGTTTCACAAAAGTTTCGATGGACTAAACGGCCATCACTCTTCCTCCTGCATCCATATTTTGTGTACTGTATTCCTAAAGAGGACAAAATGGTCCGACCATCTCAGAACACCTGAAGTTGTTTTTAGGGATGAAAGCTATGGAAACAATCAAAACATTTACAGCCATCTCATTGGCTGATTGGCTAGCAAGCAATTGATTTTACAAATCAATGGCTTGTGAATATATGCTAACTGTATTTTCTTAAGAGTGGCAGAATCCAGTGTGAGTTTAATTAAGAAATGTGAGTTTAATTAAAAGTGGTGTGTGCTCTTCTGTGTATTAAACTATGTTGTGGATGTATTTATGTGCATTAGAGACATAAATACAAATCAAAATAACTTTGACTATTACTGCTGTAGAGAAGAAAATAAACTGAAATAACATAAATGCATCTGCTGTGTTTACTGCTATTATTGCCACCTTTTATGTCACCGGATAAAAATGTCAGTAGGTGGAAATTTTTTATTGCATTTGTTCACAAAAATTAACCACTTTATGAAATTCATACTTAGTACCAATATTTACTTGGTGCTGAATACTTCTAGTCACTGCATCTTTTAATTTAACCCATGCACATTCTCTCATGTTCACAAGTAAAACAAACCCAAAAAAAGAAATCCAGCCACTCAATGCCAGATGCAACAAAACATGCCTACCATTTTTTAAAACCTTCACAGTCCACCTTAACTTTAAACATGTATTTAAACTTAATGACATAATTATTACATGCTGCCATATGCTTTCATTTAATTGATTATTGTCTCATTATTTAGAGTGGCAGCAATAATACTTTCTTTTTGCCAAGCCCATTAAAGTTTTCAATGAAATATTTCTTACATTTTTTATACAAAAATGGGCTTTTTCCACAAAAGCCTGCTGAGTCATTTCTGTACCCCAAATGCTGGATTCTTAGCTTTTAAACTGAAAAAAAAAATAATAATCAGAACTCATCAAAACCTCTCCTGAAAGAGGAAGTAAGACATACTAAGACAACAGATTTATTATGTTCCAAGAAACATTTATTCAATTCAACCCTTTACTGTCAACTTTGGGGAGTCTGTGCAAGTTGTAGCCAAAACTGAATGTTCTCAGCTGGCATAAGTGGTACTTGCTGTGGTTTTCTGTTGCTTTAACTCGTCTGTAACTTGCAACTTGCTGAAACTTGTCCAGATACTTGTCTACTCTTGTGTTCATACTTTAGTTGTAGTGATTATCTTCTAAAACGTATAGGCCAGGCCATGAAGCATCAACAGCTAATACCATAGTTATACTCGCTCTATGCCCCAATCTGATGGGGAAATCAACACTCTTGAGTTTAATCGATCTAGGACTGGATCAGTCTTTTTTTAAATCAACACTTGGTTGGCAAATACACCAAAAATAAGTTTGGAATGGGTTAATAACAACCAATGCCTGGAGATTCTCAGCTGCTGATGGACCTGTTCTAGAGAACATCAGTAAATAAGCTACTTAAAAGCAATAATTTTATGTTGCAAATGTTGCAGCTTTTCCATATAACCTTGAATATTACTGGTGTGGAGAAGAAAATAAACTGAAATAACAGTTTATTACTCACTGACCTCCGCCACATGGTTTGGAGCACTGAGACCAGCTTTTCAGTGCCCACTCATATGTGTCCAGCTCGGCAAGAAGCACGTTGTTGTTGGTAATAAGTGGCAGGAGGTCCTCGTGTATTATGTACTTATAAGTCAAACTAATTTTGACGTCCTCTTCCAGTGGAATGACCTGCAACAAGCAAACAATATGCAGTTAGAAAACTCTTGGAAGATGGTCAATTTTTACAGTAACCTTTAGTTTCAGCTGTACTCACCAGAACCACAATGCCTTCGTGCAGAGGACCAGTTGTTTTTAATGTCTCCCTCTCTCCATCAACGGAGTAATCCCACTGTAAACCATTTTCAATGAAGGTCTTCGATTCAGCGGCTTCACTTTTTTCATTTAATATGAAGTGCCCAGTTACTTGATTCTTCACAGCTGAGCATTGAAGAAAAGGTCATTTAATTAGGATATAGAAAGAAGAAGAGATGCTTGCCGTGTGAATTTCTTCTGATAATTATATCTTTGATATTTTCTCAAAGTGGGAATCTCACTGCATGTATTATGACATTTCAACTATTGTGATGGTCCAACACTAATTCCTTCAAGTTAAGTACCACCTGCTCTTCAGAATAGCCATTGAAAGCCACAATAAGATATAGCAGATTCTGATGAATGCAGTTTCCCAGCACTCCTGTGTGATGTCATGTTTTGAAAAATCAAACTTATACAAACTAATAGAGCATATTCTTTAGAAATACAATTATGGGAAGCTTTTATCAGCAGGCAGAATGTAGACTGCACTCAGAGTTTCAATTTTCAGCTTTCAGCAATCAGTTTGAATAAAAAAGTGAGGTGATCCACAGAAGTAATGCACTGTAATTATATGAGCAAGCATATTTTCTGCCTTGTCAACTTCACTGCTACAGAAAAGAACAGAGGTAAAAACATTTTTTTAATCCAGTATTGATCTGAAATTGTTTATGTTTTTAAATCAATGAGAAAAGGGCTTTGAGCAGTCAGTGTCACTAGGAAAATAGATACATGAGTTCAGTACCTCTGTTATTTATTTCCACAAATAATTTTTTATAAGTTACAAACAAACAAGGTATCCAACTGAATGTGAATGTAAAGTTAAAATCCTTGCATGTTAGTTCTTTTCATTTTATTAACAAAAAGGAAAAGTGGTTGTGTCCTCAGAGAGAAGACACGATTTCAGAAGCGGCTGAAAAGCATATGACTTCAAGTTTCAGAAGAAACATGTAATGCATTTTATGATTGGTACAAAGTACCAATCATAAAATGCAAACCCTCTTTGCACCTACTGCTGAGAATTATTTTTTTGGAAATAGTGAGATACAGCGTTACAGAGCTCTCACTCATTAAAAAGCACAGGCAACTCACTGCCATATTAAACTATATTTTATTTTTGTTCAAAGTACTGGAATTGATAACATGAATAGATATTTAGTAAGTAATAAGAGTGATTTCTTCAGGTCACCCTCCAAATGTTTGGAAAGTGAGTCAGCAGCTGTGGTTAAATTATTCAGTTCAATAAGTAAATATAATTATTCTCATTACATCAAATCTAGTGCATAATTATGAAAAAAGTAATAAGTGAACTAAATTCATTTCACATAGAAAAATATAAACATATATTATTCGACACTTTAAAAAGAGAAAATTATGTGAGTTGTACTTACCAATAATATGGGGGGAGGTATTGTTTTCTTCAATGATTATGTGTCGGGCTCCCATTGGGATATCAAACATTTTAAGCATTCCTTAAAATAAAAACAGATTAGGTCAACCCAGACCAGCAGTGACTACCTGTTGGGTGTTAAAGTTTCAAATGATTTCTGCTTCTACAATATGATAAAACTTTATGTTTACCATTCTTTTTAGGGGTCTTAGTGAGTGTTAGCTTCACAGTCCGACAGTGGGAGTTATCCCCCTCACAAACGCCACACTTATCCTCGTCTTTGTAAGAGCCAACCTCCTTGTCGCAGCCAACGTGCTGCAGAGAGAGTGCAGACAATCAAATCAGAGCAACCTTTAGACACACTTAGATTACATTTCAGGAATACAACTATGTCATATGTGGACATGGCTCATATTTGGGTTTTTAAAATGACAATTTCTTAAGAAAGACACAGACAAAACATAAATTGCAGCCAAAACATAATGTTGAGCCTTGTCAGTCAAGGTTAACAACAGAATAGAATACAAACAGAGTACACTCATTAGGGCAGCGACATTTCAGTCCAAACTGTTTACGGCTTGCAGAAAAATATCAGATGATGCTCTACAATGAACAACTTCATTACAAGCATAGCAGCAAAAGTTATAATAATTTGTGAAAATTTACTATTTTTCAGGCTGGAACCTTTATTTCTTAATGAAAATGTTGGCTTTCATGTGTAAAGAAGCTCTTGGATCTCTCAAGGTGAACATCTCTTGATTTTGCACTTTTTACCATCATACTTTTTCCTTCCACTCAACTTTCTATAGATATACTGGGATACATCACTCTCTGAACAGCCTGCCTCTTTAGCAATGGCTATCTGTGGCTTATTCTCCTTGTCTTCCATATGACTGTGTAGGCCATTACATAAAATAAGAACATAACATTTTTGTGTTCAAAACATTATTTTTCAGTTTCTGAATATTCTTTTTTTATTTGAGAAAATTTAAATTAAAGGGTTTTCATTAACTCTATCCCATCATTATCAAAATTCCCTGTTGTGAAGACACTGTATATAATCATTTTAAATATGATTTTCACTTTTTAATCAGTTTACTGAAATAAATAATTTTTTTAGTCTTATTTAGTGAATTACACCTGCATATATTTTTCATACTATGTCACATCGTACCATAGAAAAATATTCTATTTGAAGTAATTGCACTCTTTTAATTAAACATTGCTCATATTACAGGGGTTGATTTTTATGGAAGAACAACTTATGGGAAAGGTTTGACTCCAGTCAACCTTTTGGGATTAGCAGCTAAAACATCATGTTTTTTTCTGCTTTGTCCCAAAAAACTGAGTGAAGCACATAAAGAACACCGCACATGTTTCAAATATAACTCTCATTAGAAAAACAACTCACTCCTGAAGTGATGTTCTTTAAAAGTTATAGCCTGAGTATATAGTCACTGGTGTTACATCAGTAATTGAGAACATGTGCCTCGTTCATATGTGATGGTAGGGTGGAGTGATAAGGGGATACATGGATTTAGGGAATCAGTCTGTTATCATGAGGAACGAACAGATTTCAATTGACCCATCCATCTGTATTGCATGGCTAAAATAACAATACCCGGAATAAAAACAGATGAAATTCTCTCCATCCATGGAGAGGCTGGGCACAGCCTTAGAGAGAGTGGGAACTCCAACAGTGCTGATAATTGAATCAGAAGGAGTCGGTCAAGATATTCCTGCAGGGAATACCTTAAGATTCCCTAGAGTGAGCTGAAGAGTATTGATGATGACAAGAATAATTGGCTTTACCCCTGTAACCAATATGCCCCCTGCAGGCCGATCTCAGATAAGTAAGACATTCCAAATAGATGCTGTATATGTGATTTAAAAAACAAAAAGATCTTTCAGTGGACTGCTTCACTTAAGACTCACCAGACACTCTCCTCGAGCGCAGACGCTGAAGGGGTCTGAGTAGCTGCACCTCGTCCCATCATGCATCACCTGGTTCATGAACACCACCTCCCCAGTTTCCTTCGATTTACAACTTAGCTCGCATTTACGAGCCTCTGGAAACAACAACCAACAATCACTAATTAGTTTGTTAAAATGTCTTTCAGATGTGAAAAATTGATTCATAGAATGAACACACAACACACACTAATTTAACAAATTGTTTTCTCCCCCAACAGGGAGAGCCAGCTTTAATAATATCTTTACAGACTTACCATCTGGGTGCTCATATGGCAGCCAGGTGTGCTTGATGTTGTTGTGGTATTTGTTGCTCCGCTGGACGCATTGCTGAGCGCGGAAGTCTTCATAAGGGCCAGCACACTCCTCTGTGTTGCACATCTGGTAGTCAAATGCAGAGCCTGGGCAGTCTCGACCACCGTAGGCAGGCCTGGCGCAAGACAGAAATAAAAGTGGAGTCAAATTCTTTGCAAGGATTCAGAATCCTCAGATTCCCAGATCTGAGCTTTGCTTATCTGATTTTATTAACATGAAATCATATTTACCTATCTAATGAAGATTTTCTCATTGTTCTGATTGACCATGCAGTGTGCTTTAAGTTCTTTATAGTTTTTTCTTCAAGCACATTCTTTGACTATGTGGCATTTGCATAGGTGGAAACAAAGCTGGATTATATTAGGCATTGTGTTCATCTTCTGTTTTTATTCTTTTTAATAGTTGCATTTGCATGCAGAATAACATACTCGGTCTGGTCTGACTTTTTAAACTCTGCCGTTTGCAACACTGCTGAGTTGTTTATTTTCTCAGTGTAAGAAAATACACTGTAAAGGTAGTGCAATACGGTGTAAAGGCATTAACTGCATTGTTTTACAGAAAAGGCATGAGAATTATCTATTTTTTTAGTAGCAAGGCCTAAATGCTTCCACCATTCCTCTAATTACCTGATGACCCAACCTCAACCGCAACAAAAACACACGGTGTTGTTTTTCAACAACACCATGCAGCACACTTCAGCTCTTATATTTTTCCATTCTCTTCCTCAGCCATTAATCCTTACTGAGGTCTATTCATAGCCCTCAAACAACTTTTTGTGATAGACAACCATAAGCTACTGAATAATTTAGATGTGGAAAGAAAAGGAAAAGCACATGAATTTCTTTCATATATTTTATGTAAGAAAAGTCTCTGCACAGCTTGGGCCACCATCATCTTTCTCTTTCAGGATGAGGATTTTGTTCTTTTCTGACTCGACCTTTTTCTACTGTAATCCAAGATTTTTATGACAATAGTTTTATATTGTAAAGGCTAGTTTAGTGATGTGCACAGCAAATAAAATAGACTATAGGATCTTTGGCTCCTCCGATGCTACTATGGGTCCATTGGCTGCTTCTCTAATTGAAGCTCTCTTTCTGGATTCTTGACCATTATATGTTACTTTGTTCTGGTCTATCAGATAAAATGGCAATAACATTTACTGATGTTTAGCATTACAAAATATGAAGAGTTTGCAAAAGAAAAAACCAAAAGGCTATTAATACTGATGAAAGAACAAAAGCTGTGCTGTCTAATCAGGAGCATTCTACTCATAATTTCATTTCTAGTTTTTAAAATAATGACACAATTTCTGTGATGAACAAAAATAATGTGTTCATCCAAGATGTCATGCCTGTTTTGGATCAGTCTCATCACTGCTTCAGTACTCACGGGGGGTCATTGCACTGCCTGCTGCGGGAACGAACTCCACCTCCACACGTCCTGGAACATGACCCATATTTTGACCAGGAGCTCCAGTTCCCATCATGCCCTTGAGGCTCCTGGCTGGACTTCCAGATGCAATGACCCTTGAAGCACCACTGCAAAATGAGATGAGATGAAAAGGATGACAGACAGTTCAAAACATCTTGAAACAATATAACTGAGTTTTCTGAAAATATCACAGGCATTCTGATGTTAAGTATCTCTAGAGAATTCAAATTTTTACCAGTCAAAAGAATATAAAAAAAAAACACCAATCAAATTACATAAAAGAACAAAAAATCAGTTTTATAAAAGCAATTTCTGTCCCATGTCCTACCTTTCCAGGTGCACACTCCGTCCCATCTACTGGAGGGCCTTTTTTGGTTTTACAGAAATACTGGTTGTCAGGGTGGCTGCACCACAGCTGCTTGCAAGGGTCGTAGGTTCGAAACTAAAGAAGGGAAAAAAAAAATTAAGAATTGATCTAAACATTTCTTTTTTTCTTTCTTTACAAGTCAGAAATGGTGAACATATCTTCACCATTTGCACCTCTTTTATCAGACAGTTATCCACTGTGATCATACATGTTAAAATCAATCGGAAAAGATAAAGAAGGACTTTCTTTCGTTAGTCAATCCAGAGTATCCAGGTATGCAGGACTTACAGCAGTGCACATTTTGTAACCAACACCAAAGTCAAAGCGGCACTGCTCATCCATTGAATAATTAATTCCAGGAAGCTCAGGAAGCTTGGGCCACTTGTGTTCAAAGGGATCATCCAGGAGGCAATCATAGGAGCTGTGGAAAAGATTAAAATTAGTTAAGGCTAAATATTACATATCATGAGGGATTGTGAGAAAACTCTTCTGAAACAAAGGGAATTTTATAAAATATTTAAAAAATGGCCTGGGAAAAGCAGGACATACTGAATATATCTGTTGAGCTCCTGTTTGCTGCAACGTGACCAATGGTAGCGATGGAAAGCTGCTTGGACAAGTGGGGCCATGATGCTGCCCATACTGGTTTCATCAGCGCAGCGATTCCCCTGACCATCATGCTCCATGCCCAGCCTAAGGGCCAAAGCAAACTCATTAGACAAGAATATATGCAATATTTGGTTCATATTATTAATAACTCCACAATTTTGCAAGTCAATGTCATGTACAAGTAAACAGAATTTAAGTTAATATAAGTAAGAGCAAAATCACTGCAGTTTGCTGCAGTGAGAGCTATTACAAAAATCAAATGACAGATTCCACAATCAGCTTCTAAGCACTGGAAACCAACATGGCAAGACAGGAGAAAGCTGAAGAGCAAAACAGGCAGATTTATGCAACACCCCGTTGTTTTATAAAAACTATTCCTACTAATTAATAGTGATTTCCGTATTGTTTTTCACATGAGTGTTAATCATTGTATATTGTCTGAATTTGATTACAAACAATTCATCCCAAGAAACCTTTTCACACTGACAGCTCAACAAAGGTTGCTAAAGCTAATGAGTAAAACCTCACCGAGGGGTCAGGTTTTAACTGAATAATCAAATCAAAAATCTGGCAGAGCCTCCCTGAAGCTAACAACAGAGCTTCAGGGAGTTAAAAATTTGAATTTAGCTGCAGGAGGCACCTTAATGTTGTCTTGTTGGATGCTACCAGGAGGACCACAACATGTCGGAACCCTTTTGGGTCTCAGAGCTTGAAAAGGTTGACTGAAGAGTAAGAATTAAAGGTAAAATGCCAATTTCCATCAAGTGAAATCTTTCTTCTTTAAGTTGCTACAAAAATACTGTAGACAAAAATAATTGATAAATAATAAATAGTAAATAATTTACTGTTGAATGTGATTCATGAGTCCTGTTTGCATTTTGCTCCAAATCAGCTAAGAGTAAAAAGGTGCTTCAGACCACAGTAATTCTTTTTCTATAAAAGATAAATGATATAAGTGGTGCAAAACTCACAGTTCTCATCACCCTGAACACCCCACTCCCATCATAAAAACATTGTGGTGGCAGGATTATACTGTGGAGTGATTTTCTGTCTGATGGAGAAAATGACTTACTTCGAAAATGGTTGAAGTTTAAACAAAAACCATGAGAAAAACCTGCTGCAGAGTGACTCTATCCCTCCCGTTATGGGAGGGATAGCAACTCTAAAAAGAATGCCAGAGCTACAATGGAACAATCTGCAGCCAATCTGACAAAACTTGAGCTTTTTTACAAACAAAAATAGAAAATAAAATCAATTTCTTTCTCTGTGCAGCTGGTAGAGACCATCTGAGCAGATCTGTAAATCTTTTTTTCAGGGGCTCTAAATACAATAGCTCAAGGTTTGAAAACTATGGATCATTTTCCTTCAACTTTACAATCATGCACTATTTTGTTGTGCTCTAAAAAAAAAGCATCACAGTAAAGTTTCATTTGTGCTGTAAAAAGTTAAATGAGCATAAATATTTTTGAAAGGCACTTTATATCATCAACGTAAACATTGTTTTCCACAGTTATTTACGTAACTGTTCTGAACAGCAACACAGACATTACGAGAAGATAAGACAAAAATCTAGTCAATAAGCATTAAATCTTCTTACTGAATGGCAATAGCACTGTGAAGAAAAAAGCTTGTCCTTATTTTAAAAAAAAAGTCCATGCATTTCTTTCCAGAGACATAATCACTATAACATATTCATCTACCCAACTTCACTGCTCTATGATCCTGTTCATTCAACCAAAAAATTATCTCTGCATGCAAGGGGAGGACAATATGGAGTAAGAATGACAACAGCTGACACCTAACGATCAGTGATGCGACCATGAGAAACTATGATTATCAAATGACTTTTTAAGATCAAATAATTCTGATGCATCCATTCTGAAAAACCTCTTGGCTTTGCAAAAGAAAAACGCCGTCATTTTCACTGAGCAGAAGTTGACACATCTAAAACATGAATGCACTTGAGAGCTAAACAAACTCATTGAGACAAACAGATGCTAAAATGTTCTGATTTGATTGTAGAAGCAATCAGTTGTAACAAGTTTCAGATTACACAGGTGGTTTTCCGTGATGTCATTAGGGGGGAAAAAAACAACACTGCCAGCAGTTAGTTGCTGCTGGAGTTAAAGCAATAAAGGTGCATATGTAAATTATATACTTTTCAACATTTTTCAATTAAAAAATGCTTTGTTCATTGTAATAAACATTCTGTGGTAACTGAAATCGGGTTTTTACTAGCTGTAAATAAAATTAACAGAAATAAATGTTTAAAGTATAAAACTCTCATTGTAATTTATGCAAATATTCTTTGTGTTTTATTTTTTAAGTTTAATTACTACTAGAAATAAACTGTTTGATAATGGTCTACTCATTAGGATGTACACGCCTACATGCATGGTTTTCTTGAAACAAATTATTGTTCAAATGTAGATTAAAAAAAAGCTTATAAAATAGGAGGAAAAACATTGAGGAGCCTTTGGGTGGTGGCTGATCTCAAGGTCAGAGATCTTTAAATGTCAATAGGCACAGCGTGAAGCTGCTTCTGTACAATCCTAATGGATGGAGACATTGGTGACCTTGATTTTTTTCTTCTTTTGTGCAATGTTACAATCAAGTCAGTTTGGCTGGCTCTCTTGTGCCATAATGGGAGGCTGGGCTCGCAAATGTTACAGTTTTTCATTATAGTTCTCAAAGCTCAAAGAAAAAGGAAAAAAGCTCTTTAAAATGGGGCAGAGGTGATTACACAATTTCTGAACTCAGTGACCACCAGAAGTAGCTTGTGACTTGGAGGAAACTCAACATGCTGAAGCACAACCTTTTAAGAATGATCTCTTCAACTTCACAGAGATGGAAGCAATCATTAAAAGATCTAATGTAACTGCAAGTGACTTTAAGTATATATATTCTTCTACCTTTGTTCTCTACAAAATCTCCATGGTACCAAAAACACGTAAAATCAATGAATTCATGTTAGAAAAAATGCCTCTTAGTTATTCAAACTAATACCCTTTATGTGCAAGGTTTTTAGGTGTTGAATTTTGTCGAACCTGCATATCTCCATTGAGGGTTTTGACCACAGACTGCTGTGTTGGAAAGTCAAGTCAAACTGTCAGCTTAGCTGGAAGCTCAGGGACCTTGTGAAATGCCACTAAGCCCTTCATCAGGAAGCTGTTACTTACACATGACCAGTTTCGTGAGCAACGACGAAGGCAGAGGAGAAGCCGTCTTCATGATTCAAGGTGCAGCTCCTCAGAGGGTGACACATGCCAGTCACTGGAGCATAGCCTGGGCAACAGAAAAGATCATACAGCCCCGACAATCAAGAACAAGAATGAAGAACTTGTATCATACACGTTCTTGCATCGTTCCCAGTCCAAATTACCATAAAAGTCACACCAGATGCCACCAAGAACCCAAGTAATAAACATTCAGGGAATTCCTAATTATGTTACATGTAATAAAGTTTAATGGCAGCAGTCATTAGTATTAAATATCACTACTGTAATTTAATGTTTTGTAAAGCCTTTGCTGACAGTTTCAACATGTCTACAGGTGTAATTTCAGCCAATGTTTCAACAAAAACTGTCTTGAAGTCTTAAATGTTCTCAGGGGCTTTTATATGAACTCTGACCTGAACTTATTTCCCTATTTTTGTCAGATGAATTTATCTGAAAAAAATTCTGATTTGCTGACTGATTTCTGTAGCTGTGTGCTTGTGATCAACCTCTTGCATAACGTCCACCATAGTTCTCACACAGTGCATTGCTTATTTTTATTAAAAAAAAACATATCTCTCTAATAGAATTTCTACAAGTTCAACATGTAGAAAAAAAAAATGTTGGTCCAGGCAACATTTGTGAATATTTTTTTTGTTTCCTCTGTCAGGAATCATGCTACCAGGGCCTGCTCATTAATGGTAAAATTAAGCTTTTTGCATTTTTGGATTATGGCTCCATGCTTCATGTTGACTACATTGGTAATTAAAAACCTTTTTATATGCAATCAGTCAGGATTAAACTAGTCAATATTAGCTTACACTGACTGCTTTGAAATGTGGGCAGACTGTATTTTTTTCTTGCTTTGAAAGCTTGTTTACACCCCCTTCAACCATGATCTCATTATTTTTGCCCTGTGCTTTTCACTTCATTACACAAATTGTATTATTTTTTTGTTTATTTTGTTTGTATGGGATGATTACTTAGCTTGTCAATGGCAAGAAGTGTGAATTTCTCATTGGTTCTGGAAGAATATTTACTGGAAAAAACATTGACATCCTCAGACACCTGTCAGAGACGTATTCCACAAGTAGTCTCTCATAGTGATAATTTGTAGACTCACTATGGACAGCTGGCTTTCAGACCAACTCTGCTGTGCTTTCATAAAAACACCTAAACGATTGCTCAGATTATTTTTATAAATCCATATCATACATTATTAATGATGTGGTTGAGTAGTTTGTATTCAGAAAGTAGCATTCTCACATACTCAAGGTAAACCACGTCTAATGAAGCTCTGAATGGTAAAAGTAGCTGAGAATTTTGTTTTTGTAATGAGGTGCGAGTGATACGTTTCAGTCAGCAACCACTCGGCAGAAAAACCACTTGAGCTTCTGACAAAAGGCATGCAACATTCTGAAACTAATAGCCTTACATTCAAATGAAAACACAGCAGGAGCAGCTTGTTTCATGGTAATGAAGAGCAAACATGATCCCCAGGCTCCTGCGGCACATCATTTTTCCAAGCTACACAAAGCTACGCCCAGCTATCATGACAATGTATTTTCAGCGCACCACGGCAACAAACATTTAAGCAAAGCAGAAACAATAAACATGACTCGATCAAGAGGTGTGCAGCGACTCAGCTTTGAGCGTTTGGCATGGTTCAGAAGCACACAGGTTTCAGCCTCATTTTTTGGCAGCTTTCAGAGAATTCTTCATGCTTTCTGACCATCAGAAGACCTTTTTTGGCATGCAGGTAAAAAGCAGAAAATGCAGCAGGCAAACAGCTGGTGATAAAGGCCGGGTTGAAAAAGTCCTCAGCATGTTGATTCGATCATAGTGTAATGGCATTTTCATATTCATAATAGGCCTGTGCCATATATCCAATGCATTTCAGTGAGCGCTCTAGTAGTAAACAAAAATACAAAGAGCTTATTGCTGGAGGTGAAACTAAGACATGTGAAAGAAGTTATGGTCGCACGATTCTTTATCTCAGAGGCAGATAAAGGGAAATTAAGAGAATGCAGAAAACATTTCCACAAAGAAGTCAGCTCTGAATATTTACACCCTGAAGCACAACCATGCAGCAGGAGAAGCATGTTTCTTTTCTTCCGTGGCTCGTTATGGACCGAGTGAACTCAGATATCATATAACATGCCATTAAAATGTATTCATAATCTGTGCATGTTTCTATGCTGTTGTTTTTTTTTTTTTTACATTACAACCACAGATTTAAATCTGTCTCATATTAGATTTTATGGAATTCCATTTTGAAATCCAGCCAGAGATTCCCAGCAGAACTTAGCTTTTTTTAGCTGGGTCATACTTGCACAGGAGCATGCTGTTATCTAAACCAGTGGTACATGTTTATGTTGTGTCTTTGCTTCAGAAGAGCAGATTCAAATGGCTGCCACTACTATGGTGGTGAAATGATGTTGCATAAGAGGGTAGGTCCAAGGTGATGTACAGTGTATGTTTTTTTTCCCTAAACATAGGATTTTGTTTCCAGACCACAGGGTTCAATTTTGGTCTCCCCTGACCAAAACACTTTTTTCACTTGTCTGTTGTTTCCAGGGCTGCACAGCTGGTACCACTGTTGCCTAGCAGTAAGAAGATGCTAGGCTTATATGTTATCCCCAGGTATGCATGGGTTCTGTCCAGGCACTCTAGCTTCCTCCCACAGTTCAGAAACATGACAGCAATGTCAACTGGTCTCTAAAACTGAGACCAGTTGTCTCAGTTTTAGACAACTGGTCTAAAACTGTCTGTGTGTGTGTCCATGTATTGAACTAGCAGCATGTCCAGGATATACCCCACCTCTTGCCCAATGACTGCAGCAGAAACTCATACTCTATTTTAAAGTTTCGGTACTTCTGAAGAAAACCTGTTTCACTCTGTTATAGTTCTGTGTATCAGAGTAAAGTGGTTTGAATAGAAATGCTTGTCCCACTTTCAAATAAATAAAAAAAACCCTCCATGATGGCAGATCACAATAATGAAGCACATTGAAGTTTATGGTTGTAATGTGCAAAAAGGGTTATGGATGTTGTTGCAACCCACAATATCTTGTAACTTAATCTTGAAACCAGATCTGGAGAGAAATTTAATTGATTGTGTAAACTGTGGTTTATGATTCCATTTGAAATCCATTCTCTTACGTTCATTTACCTTTTAAAAATCATTCCCACCCACTCAAAATCTATATTTGGACATAGAATCTGCCATCTCATGGCTAAACCCTGACGAGAGAGTGCGATGTCTTCTCGTGACTCTGAGAGACAGTGCGGGCTCCAGGGCAACATGGTGCAACACACTATAGAAACTGGGCTTGTTATGAGCATAACACAACTGCGTCTATGGCAACATATGTGGGTGTGACAAGCAAAGCAGGTAGGCCGAGGCCTTCCTCTAAACTTGACACATGTACATCAGAAGTTGAGACTGTGCACAGTTCAATACAAGATACCAAGGTTTAGCTCAGTGAAAGTTTTCTCATTCTGGAGACAGTTTTTGTGCAGGTTTGGCTGCTCACTTCAAAGTTTGTTTTGAAGGGCTGAAAAAGAGAAACACAGGGTGAGAACAACATGTATTGCACAAAATTGCCAACTACTGCATACATGTGAACTTATGAAGATGAATTTTAAAACGAGCAAAAATCAATAAAATAAAAACTCATTTCTGTTTTTTCTCTACATGCCAAAATCCTTCTTCAGTTTTACCAATTTATCTTTTTTTTTTACAGGGTGGCATCAACATCAAGTCAGCAAGGCTCTAAAAAAAACAATTGTTTTCATCCAGTGATTTCGCCATTGGCAGATTTCTTTATGAGATAAACCCACATGAGAGTTTCCATCGACCTTACCTGGGCAAGACATGAAGGAAGCCAACCCCTTTTTTTGTGAATTGAAGCAGATATCAGCACTCAGTCTGCACAGTCCTCGATCGAGAAAAATACAGTACCTTGCATACCTGCGGGACCAAAATCTTGCCTTGTGAGGAAGATGGCGTGGTCGTGGTACTCGGCGTGCTCAGGGTCACGGCGCTGCTGAGTGTTGGCCCATCGGCACACCTGCTCTAGGCTGCGGGAGGGGTTACCACGCTCAATAAGGCTTACGGACTGTAGAATAACAAAGAGAGAAAAAGAATGTAATTAGAAATTGTAAGGGAATTCTTCCTTTGAATTCCCTGAGCAGGGGAAATAAAAATAGATGACAAACTTTCAAGGTATGTTTGTCGTAAAAATGATTAAAAACCATATCTCATTTTCTTCCACTGTACTTTTGCAAAGCAATTTTGCGGTCGAATGGACAGATGGATGGATTTCTGAGTTAAAAACAACCTGGAATCTTTATGAGCAAAACATATGAATGAGCTTTTTCTTAGACCTCTAACACACAGGTAAATAATGTCCAGGTAAAAACGGTCTGAGCTGAAATGTGAGCAAGAAGCAAGGCTTTCTCCTTCTCATCTATGTAATAGAATCTGCTCAGCTTGGATCAGAAGCAGAGCAAGTGAGGCTCGGAAGTGGGACAGCTAAAAGCGGCGGTCAACATCAGATAGTTATGAGGAAATAAAAGGTTTTTGATTACAGACGCAAATGCTTACTTAGAAAATGACTCACTTGTATCTGCCATGTGGACACACAAAATTCAATAAACTAGACAATGAACCAATATCTTTTAATCTTGTATCAGCAAACAAGATCCATACTGGAATCTTATGAGCATAACACAACTGCAATAAGTAATTGTGTTATGGTACTTATTTTTCTCCCTTTGACATTACTCTGCCAATGTGCTTATATTACAATAATAATCCGTATAAGCTGTCAATTCAAGCCCCGTCTATCTGCAAATCTCTTCACACGGAGGAGCTGCATTTCAAACAAGTGTTTCTTAATATGCGATGTACAATTATCATATTTCTTTAAGGCGAGATGCGAAATTTTCAACAACAATTCTGGAGGAGCCTTGGTGAGAGGAAGACAACTAGTACTAGTTATGTCATACAAATTCCTCTATAAACTGAGCCAGTAGCCTTGCAGGGAAAACAGCAAACATGTTAAAGAAAGACATTTTGGTCAGACGTAACCAAAACTGAGCGTGTCCAGCTCCTCGCAACATGCTATGTCTGGAGACAGCACTAATGTTTGCAAGTTTAAAAAGCAATCATAAAGCAAAGCATAGGGCAGATGATCAACATAAGTATTTTTTTCTCATTTCTATTCTTTCCATGGTATCTCTACTTTGAAACATGTTGTGAAACACAATCATGATTGTGATAAAAATGTTAAAACAGAAAGCAATTATCTGAAAATAAGTGTGCGGTATATCAGCTAAAATAAACAGGCAGCATGCAGGCAAGCAGCAGGAACATTGCAGCATAGATATAGAAAGAAAACAGGAAGTTTTCCCATCATAAAACAGACCTCGCAGATTCTAAGGGTGTATTTGATATGTCTTCTTTAGAACGTGTGTTAAATCACATTTATGTTGACTTCCTGGACATAAATAAATGACTGCAAATACTTTTTTAGTCCTGAGATAGCAAGATTTAGGTTTTCATTTGCTGACAAAATGAAAAATAAGGCTGATTTAAATCACTTTAAAGGTTGGAATTGCATACAAGAAAGAAACAACAGACCTTGTTATATTGTACACAAAACAATTATCAAAATTTGGATGTAAAAGGGGATTTTCAAAGTTTGAAAAGTTTTGAAAATAAGAAGCAGGCAAAAGAAGACTCTGAGAATACCATAACTTATTTTAAAACTAATTAGTTTCAATTTTTATGTATCTCCTTACTAGTTCTATGACACTACTTTTACTCCATTCTCTAAGTCAAAGGTAGTTTAAGACAATACTTAGTGATTTCAAGCATTCTCGTACATCTCTATACTAAAATGTTAACAGTGTATGAGATAACTCACCTGTCTGTACCCCACCATTATCATGCGGACGAGCACAATGTTGATATTGGTTCCTAAAGACTCATCATGGTAGATCTCATCAACCTGAAAGGAAAGAAAGAGGCTCTGTCACTGCTCAACAAAGTGGATTATGATGCTAATCTCCATATCTAACAAATAGTGGATATTTCAAGTTTTGAGAGGTTGATATAACTGCATGCTATGCTACAATCTCATTCAAATTCTGATAGAACCAGTTGGTTTGATGAAATGTGCTTTGAAGAAGCGGCAGTGGAAGTAAACAGAGCGCCTGCTGTGACAACTTCTTATTTAAAAATTCTGCTTGACATAAAAACAAAAAAAATGTTCAATAATTCTGACTGGGTGAGTTATAAGTCTCACACTATGATAGTCGAGAGATTTAAATATATATATATATATATATATTAGTTTTTATTTCTGTCTTCTAGGATTTTAAAATGTGAAGTAATCACAGATCAGCAGGATTCCTGCTCCACCTGGAGCTTGAGTAGGAATGCCATGTAGCTACTTCTATTAATTTTTCTTAAGACACTCTCAGGTATTTTTCCTTTTTCTTTCTTGATCCTATTAGTCCTGCTTCAGCTTCCCTTGAATTTATTATTATTATCCTTCCCTCAGTCTGCCTGGTTTGCCTTGTTACTAATAAATCATCTGTTTCTTGCTCACTGACAAAACACCCCAGCACTAAAGCCTCTCAGTTTCTGTCATTCCCTGCCCAATTGATCTGCTTAATCTTCTGTCAATTTGTTCCATTTTTATGCTTGGTTTCCAGTCTCTTTTGTTTCCAGGCAGGAAAGTGCCTGGAGTGCATTAATCAGGGAAAAAGTCAAGACATCCAAGGTAACTCTGGAGGAGCTGCAAAGCTTATGGGAATATGTCTCAAAAGACTTGCAGCAAAATACAGATTAAAGAAGGTGAGATAAAACAGATATGTAAAGAGAAGAAAATACCAGTTTTTTTAAACTAAATGAATCCCTTTCCTTTACCTAGACTACACATTTTTCCTGAGGAATAGTCTATTACAAAAAACCTCAATTAAATGCATGTAGCTTTTTGTTCTGAGTAAAATTCAAAATGCTTTACAGGTCTGAATACTTTTATAGCTAAAATCCTGACCTAACCAAATCTGAGTGAAAAGCAATAATATGACAAACTTATGAAAACATTGCACAGCAAAAATGAGTTCTTCGTCATCAACAGTTATTTTCTTTTCACAAGTATCTGTGGTCAAGTCAACAGATTCTCTTTCATCAGTGAAGACATTTTGAAGCATTGCATCCATTTAGCATGGGTTAATGCATTTATGTTGCATTAAGTCAGCCATGTTGTTTAGAAATAATAAAAATTTTCCTTTCATTTTGTTGCAGCATAAAGTGCTTTTGTTGAAAGCTGTTTAATTTTTCGATGAGTTGCAGAGCAAAAACATTATTTCACAATGCATAGATCCCCATGCTGTTGCTAGGCTCAGTCTTTCAATATTGCAGAGCCCTTGGCTGGAAAAGGTTGTGTGGTTAATTAGGGTCGTTGGGCCCTGAGGTGTAGTCTAACGATTTCATTACCACTAAAGCAAATCGGCTGTGTTAAAAACAACCTGCTTATATAAAAGCAGGCTGTTTTACCGTAGATTTATTTGGCAAGCATAATGTGCTTTATTCTAATGTGATTACCTCATTTTATTGTTTTAAAAGGAATAAAATTATCTACACTCAGTCCAATTGGTATTTTTATTTTGCATTTCTAAATGAGAGCAGAGTGTATTGCACTCATACTCCTGTGCTTTTACCTCTCACCGACAGGGGCTTTCTTATTTCCTGATCAGTCAAATGGCTTTTCTGGGCTTAAGTCCTAATCAAAACTAAGTTCTTACAGATACACATGGTGTCCCAACATTTCTAAACAGTGAGACTTATATGACTGTGGTTGTCATCATCGTTCCTGTGTCGTAGTTATTTTGGGTAAATATTGACTGTTGAACGTGAAAAAAAAAATCTCTGAAGAAAACCAAACATACAAAAACCATGGTTTGAAAAATAGATTCTATTTTTCATTGGTTTTCTGACATGGCACGGTTCTCATGTAATCCCAGATTTGCTTCTGATTGGTTAATAAACCCATCATGATGACTCCTTCCCCTGAAGCCATCTTTCAGAAGAGCTGTGCTCTGACAGTCAGGCAGAAATTTAGAATCCTTACTTAACAATAGTATATGAAGATATGCTGAATCCAATACCTTTAGTTGGTTCTCTGCTGAAGCCATGAGTAGACATTTCACCGCCCAACAGCTGCGACATTGTATGTTTGTACATAGTGTCTGTCCTTCGTGAGAACTTCAGCATAAGAAGTTGAACATCTTATGTTGAAAACATTTTTGTGTATGTAGGAGCGTCGTCATATGGTAAAGAAGAGCTTCATGCTATGAGGATTTTTTTGAACATCTCGTGTTGAACATTTTGAGTTGTTTTTTTTCCCCCTCCAGGGGTTTTTTGTAGGCTCTAGTGTCCCTGGTATGAAAGTAGGCTGACAGGAAGGGGTTAAGGAGAAGGGGTGAAGACATTCAGGAAATATCGATAGGTCTGGAACATTTTGTGTTTAACGTGGGATGAGCTTCATCTTATGTTCAAGGTGGGGTGGGAAGGACAGGATGTTCTTTGTCTTATGTCGAAGATCTTCAACATACGAGCATCTTTACAAGATGAAGAACATCTCCTTCTCATGGGAATGTTCTTTATCTTATGTTCAGTGCGGGATGGGAAGGACAGGATGTTCTTTGGCTTATGTTGAAAACATTCAACATAAGAACATCTTATAAGTTCAACACCTTATGTTGAACAGAAGATGTTCTTGTGTTGCTCATCTCATATAATTATGAGACACAAGATAAGAGCTGATGTTAAATTGTTCACAAAATCAAGCTACATTTTGTTTTGCTGTGTTTTTATAATTCACTTCCTAAAAAATATAAAGGAATGAACCGTTGACTAAAGTTTCTAATTGTTGACTTTTGTCCCTTTCCGTATAATTGATTCAGAAGTAATCATGTCATATTTATGTAATTACTATAATAAACCTTTACTGTGTAAAAGAAAACTCTTTCAACACTTATTTTGTGGTAAAAAGAAAAAAAAAGTGTGTAATACTGTTGATTGCCTTTTTGTATTGTGTATCAAAAATACATGATGAAAAATTAATTAAATTGAGTTGAATTGATAAATATCAGATTGTTTCATCATGCAAAACAAATTTTGTATTTAACATTCAATTAATTTGCTTTATTTTGAGGCTTTTTTTTTTAAGGTGGATTATTTTTGGCCCGTAGGACAAGGGGAGTAAACAGAAAGTTAGGATCACTCAAGGGTTATGTAAATATCCCACTTACAGAAGCAAACTTCAGTTAACAAATCAAGAACCACTGAGTGACCCCAAGATGCACAGATTTTCTACTCAAAGTCCCTAGAAATGCCTACACTGACTTATATCCATGTGTTTATATTGGATCGTAGCAGAGAAGCCGGTAAAAAACAAAGAAAGCTTTAAAAAAAAAATAGCAACAAAAAAGTTCTGTCACGGAATTTGTAAGCATTTGTGGAGTTTTTCTTTCAACTGAGAGATTCGGGTGGTTGCATTCTTAACTTTCCAGTGAGTCCAGCTGAGGGACGGGCCAGCTCCGTGCACACTGGGATGATTACAAATCCAGGAGGAGCACTCACAAACACACCTACACACACAAGAAGGACTGAAATGGAGCTGTTGTGGGGGGGAAATGAGCCTAGCAGCTGTGCTCTACAGGCGCTAGGTGTCTCTGGCTTGTGTATGGTTTCGCACTGACATGGACAAAACGTGGTCTGCAGTGGTCAAACAACACAACCATTGTGCAACAGAGACCTCACTAGTCACCTTGGCATTGTGCAGACAGGATGTTCAGTAATCAATCCCTCGGGGAGAGTTTCTCCAGGTGGTACTACACATTCTGCAGCCCTGGAGCAGGGATTCGGAGGGATTTGAGCGGGCAGAGCTCTTTCAGACACAGCAAACCCGTGGCTTACAAGCAGAGCTGAAGGGTTCTGACCTTCGATTGTTTAAACTGCACCACTTTTTAAGTGAAAAAATAAAATAAAAGTCCAAGAGATATATTCAGACGACTTTTAATTACCTGATTTTATCTACTGTGACACTCAAGTCAATTTTAAATAATACTACTTCAAATGTACTCCTCCAGAAACCTTTTCCAATGCTATTAAGTCATCAGAGTGTATTAGACACCAAGGTCTGACAGATACCGAGCGTGTGTGAGTCAGAGTTGCTATTCAGCACAATCAAGCTCAGTAAAAGTCTGACATTTTGCTCTGTTAAAGACATTTGGCACCAGATTTTGAGTATAAATTCCTAATTAAATAAACACATCACTCTATGTAAGAAGAGCTTTGGCAGTTCAAACAAACGTCTGGCACCACTTTCCATGGCTGCTCCGTACCGCTCCCACTCAACTTTCTAAGTGCTCTAATGCAGCTAATCAGACTGCCATGCATGGTCCAAATGGTAACTGTTACAGAGTGAAACCAGCTCCCTGTGAAAATCTGACTTGGGGGGGGATTTAGGCTCAGTAAGAAGATTATGGTGGTAGGAGCTGGTGGAACCTGTAATGAACGAGCTGAGAGTTTCTCAGAGAGTTTCTCGTTTTGGCTCCGTCTCTCATCGGTAATCTGTCAGCTGCGAATGAAAATGTGACAGAGCTTGATGTCAATATAAACACATTCAGCAATATTTTGTAGCACAGACACATGGTTTTAGAGACAAAAATACAAGAAAAGTCATACTTTCACTTCTAAAAGGAATATAAAGAGTTTAAGTAACACAGAGATCGACTATAATTGCCAATTAGGTGATTTTTTTTTTTTAGGCAAGTGCTTGGACAATACTTTATTTAATTTCAGGGGTGTAATAACACAGAGAGGTGAGTATTAATGCATGTCACACTTTTCCGAACTTACAATGTTCATTAGGGTGAGAACGTAATTCTGCACGTGCTCCTTGCCATGGAAACGGATCACTGAGTCATCCACAGCCAGCAGAACCTCGATGTTGTAGTCGTCTTTTTTCACGTGCCTCCTTTTGCGCTCGGACTCAGAGAGTTTATGTTCAACCAAATCCAGAGCTGCAGGAAGGTCTGCGATGCCAACATCTGCCACTTCAGAGACATGAGGAGGATACAACATGGATTAAATATATGTGCCTCTAATCCATCCACACAAGCTGTCCTGTGTGGAAAATTCACAGCTGAGTAACAGCATGTAACAGCAAAATGTATATGCTAAAAATCACATTGTACATCAAATCAAACAAAAATATTACCTGAAACCAAATAACTTACTGGAAATTGTAATTATTTCATTCAATGAAAAAAAATAAATGTGGCTCATGCTTATATCAGAGCCAGTCAGCTGTATGATTGGATGGTAAAACAATCATGGCTGAAGCAGCAGAAAATAGGTTGTAAAATAGTGATTTTTCCAGCAGATGCTGAATCAATTGTTAAAGGAGAAGAAATTGATGGACAGTCAATGAAAGTTCACCCCCTTTTCTTGGCTCCACTGCACTCCCGAGTCTCCCATTGTGCCATTAGAGCACAGCATTCCTCATCCTACCAGCTGGTTTAGTGAACAGTTCTTCCACTGCTGGACCTAATAGAAACCTTTAAAATGTGCAAGATGGGATTTAATTTGCAAGCTACTGCGCCTTTACCTTTAATTATGTATGATATTCTGGAATGTGTGTTTTCTGCAAGTTTCATGCTGAGAAAGAAGAGCCCAATTGGATTATCAGATGGAAATAATATGTTGGTTCACCACACGTTATCTCTCTAACAATATGTATAGAAGAAATCGGCTGATTTTCGTCCTTAACCAGCTCCATCTAGTGATTCTATAACAAAGTAGATTTCTTTTTACCCGGATCAGTGAATGTGTCTTATCCACGCACATATCCCTCTGTGTTTGTTGTGACAGAGGAAAGAAGGCTCAAAGTTAGCCATGAGAGATACAGTTTAAAAGGTTGATAGTTCATATGACACCCCAAAGCATCTGGTTCATCCAGAAATTCTAAAATCATATTATTTTCTCATCTGTGAAAGCACCATACCCAAACACTGTCACACCTACAGTATGCAGAGTGGAGGTCATCATTTCAGGAAATTTTGATGTGTTTTTTTGTTTGTTTTTTTGTTGTTGTTGTTTTGTTTTTGTATCAAGTCAAAGGAAGCCAAAGGGTCTGAGAAGCAAACTGAGCGAAGCTGACAGTATTTTCTACTGAAGCCTATCAGCCATATATTCAGCTTGTTTTAAGGTCACTCTGGCTCCAAACATTGCAGTCTGCCACAGGATATCTAATTTGGGGCACATTTGTCAAAACAGCAACCAGTAATAAGGGAGTCCCAACATATTACAGCATAATTGCTCTGTTTTGTTCTTTTGAGCTTTCGGCTTCTTTCCATTGTAAAACATGCCACCTTGCCAGCTTTTTGAAAATCTTAAGGCTTACGCTACATTGGATTTTTCTTGGAAGACAGCACTTGGAGGGAGAGATAAATTCACGCTTGACTGGAGTGCATACTGGTTGCTGTTGCTTTGGTATCGGATATAAAACATGTTCATGCATATAAGAATGTTTTTGCAAAAGATGTATAAAGCTCAGTGTTTGCTTCTCTCTGACCCCTGTGTTGATGTCTGGCCCAGCATGACCGTCTGGTTTGCCTGTTTTGGAACGTCTGGGGTATATTTTTGGGCGAACACTTATAATTTCCCAGATGAAAGTAGTAAATTTGCAAGTAAAGACTACCACATACAGAGATCAAAGTGGAACATAGACAAATGGAAAAGTTTATTCATACCATAAAGGTGCAACACCTCTCCTTTATGTATGATAAAATCAACTCCACCTACTGCACCACAATATGCAAAAGTATTCACAGTCCGCCATCTACACCAAATTTTGTTTCATTCACAAACTTGAATGAATTAAATGTGACCAGGGATTCAGTGACTGCCTAATCTGCACAAATTGGGAAAGTGATCATTAAGAATCCATTTTTTAAAGAAAATTGCAGTACTGTTTGCAATTTGCCCAAAGCCATAAGGGGCCACAAATAACAAGTGGAAGGTGTTCTCGCCAGAGGAGACTAAAATGTAACTTGATGCGCATCATGCTGAACACAGCATCCCAATGGTGAAACATTACAGTGGCAGCATCAGGCTGAAGGCTTTTCTCTGGTAGTAACAGTGAAGCAGGTTAGCATTGAGCTTCACCTTCCAGCAAGAGAGCAACAAACAAACAGCCAGAACTGCAAATTGAATGGCAAGGAATATTTGAGAGTTAGGCTGGCCCAGTCAAAGTCCGAAACTAAATACAGTTTAGAATCTGTGCCGATGAATGTTTTTCAGATCTGTGAACTTGAGCTATTTAGGCAAGAGGCATAGGCTCAGATTTCTATGATTTAATGTCCAAACCTGGTAGAGGCAAACTCCAGGAGAATCTGGACAAAAATGCAGACAATGCTTTTCAAACTTCTATTTGTAAAAGAAATATATATATGTATATTTCATATATTTGAGAACGTCATACTATGACAAGTATGACTTTAAATACTTTGTGGCATTCTCACATGACCTTGTGAGCTTCTGAAAGATTAATATTCAGTGTTTACATTGATCAGAGGAACACTTATGTATGCAGTATTAGACAACACCACAAACTAATGACTTTTTAGATCATAAAAAATATACATAAAAAGAAATTAGACAATATATCAGCATGACAATTGTGGACTTCCACTGCTCATCTTTGAATACATTTTCCAAGTGGCTGAAAGTGCTGCATTCATTTGTTCAAACATTTGTATGCCAGGATACACCATGAGAATAATGTGCAGCTATCATGCAGCTCAGGAAGGAGATGGGTTCAGTGTACCAGAGACAAAGTACAAAAATGATGGACAATGCTGGTGAGAGAATATCATTATCTACAGTGAAATTAGCAGTGTGCTGATGGGGGCTGAAAGCCCACTCAGCGAGAAACAAGTCATTATGCAATAAGCAACACAAAAAGCCTAATGATATATTGCAAATGGACTCAGAGGCAAAGACCTTCATTTTTGGCTATTATAACATTGCTCCAGTTTGGAAGGAAAATGGGGGAAGCTTGTAAGCCAGAGAACACCATCTTCACTGTGAAGTACGAGGGTGGCAGTATCATGTTGTTTGAGTGTTTTGCTGCAGTAGAGATTGAAACATGCTACCAAATAGATTGTATATATGGAAATGTAAAATAAACATCTGAGAAGACGTCTAGAAAAGTCAAAGCTTGGGCACAAATGGTTCTTTCAAATGGACGATGCCACCAAACGAGCTATAAAGTGGCTTCAGGACAAGAAAGCCAATGTTTTGGAGGGTACATCACAAAGGCCTGGTCTCAACCCTAGAGAAAAATTGTGAACAGTTCTTAAATGTGGAGCCAAGCAAAATTCAACAAACTGCCAGAAGCAATGGGCCGACATTGCAGCAAACTATTTTGAGAAGCTGGTCGGTAGAAAGATTCAGCATTTAACACAAGTCATACTGTTTGAAAGACAGTTCTACCAAATACTTGAAAAATGGATGTAAACTTCAGACTTTTAAAAAAGTTAAAAAATGATCCTTGTCACTATTTTGATATTTAGCTAATATTAATAATTCAATAAATACAATCAAATAAAAAAGTTTTTATTCTGATTTGATGTGGTGCAGTGAGAAAACGTGATGTCTTTTTATCCATTTTAAATAAATTCCTGATGTGTTCTGCCTGTCTTTCTTGTAGGACCTATAAGTGACCATGCAGCAGAGCTGTTCTGTTCGTTTTGCAGCCACAGAACACTTAAACCCACACAGTGCTTTTTGTTTCCACTGATGTAAGACTCCTTCCCTCCTCCTACCTTCATTGAGTAAGTCCTCTTTCCGCTGGCCCGTCTCCCGCTTGATGGCCGATCTGCGGTAGACCACGTGCACTCGGCCCTTTACTTCCACATCCTGTTGGCCTTTCTCAAGTGGTTCAATGAAAAACTCGCCATTATCAGTGCGGATCAGGCCTGCCTGGAGAAACAGAACTTTGTATCAGAGCACCACTCTTCCTTTAAATCAAGTAAATCCAACTGGATCCTGTAATAACAGTAGAGCCGGTCAATTGGAAGATTCAGTGTAATAAAGAATGGTGAAGGTGGACACAACTTGGCAGCTTTGAAGATTATTTCTAAACAGTTATTAGTGAACAACCTGAATATTTTACAGCTCAAAAAGGTTTGTGACACTTTACTAACTTTGAATCAATTATAGAAAAACCTTTAATAATCTGTATCTTTGAGAACTTTGAGTTCCCACTATGAAATGTAGTTTATATTTCAAACCCTAACCCTATCCCTAACCCGACTCCTAATAAAAAACTTTCTTCCTTTATACAGATGACAACCTCTTCAGTTTAATCTGAAATTTCAAACACTTCACAAAGAAAGTTTTATTAGCTTCTAGGCATTTTAACATTCATTGAGCTACAGAAATATAATTTTTGGTATGAAAGATGAATCATGTTTGTTAAGGAAGACTTCTCCCTTGCTTGTTGCCGAGTGTACAAAACTGGTCAATGTGGAAGGAAGCTGCCATTCCCTAATTCAACCACAAACCTTCAATTTTCTCTTGATTGCATAAATATACAAAATGCCCACATAATACAGAGTGAGACATTTTTATAAACACTGCAACAGATTGTGCATTTATTTGCATTAAAAAAATCTGTTTATTTGTCACTTTAATTTATATCTGTCTCTGGTCCAGAAGGACAGACCTTGTGCTCATTTTGTTTTTGGGTAGTTTTAAGGGCGGACAGTACTTTATCATATTGGAGCAGAACTGCATTAGAACAGGATGAACTTGCAAATATCCCAAGTTCACTTTTTTTTTCTTGTTTATTCAGAACTTTTTCAAGTTCTACAGATTATATATATATTTACAGTGCCTACCAATAGCTTACTTATATTTGGAACATTTTCTCATTTTGCCCCATTACTACAGCAAACTTTATTGTATCGCATTTCTCTTTTAAAGATGTAGAAAAGTATATATACCCCTAAATAACTTTAGGCTTAGCCAATGAACCTTAAAAAATACTGTTGTGGTTAATGAATTAAATTCATTTAACTAAATCCATCTCCATGTGAAAGCCTCCAAACTTTCATAGTGGCCATTTGTAAGCAAACAACACAAGGTGACAAGAAATGTTGTAGTGAAATTTAAAACAGTGTTAAATTACAATATGACGAGCTTTATCGCTCAGAACTCTGGTCAGTTCATCTTCTAAAAACAAAATGATTGCAACTAATAAAATCAAGTCAAGACATGGCTGTCCATTTAAACTGATAGGTCAGATAAAGAGAACATCAAACAGAGAAGCAGCAATAATAACCATGTTGACCACAGGACCATCAGAAGACCTCCTGGAGAACTCTCCAGTGCTGCACGTCTTTAAGAAACCAACATGTAACTTTTTGGCTTTAATTCAAAATGTTATGTGTGGTGGAAAACTAACCCCTGGTAAAACATGGTATTGGCAGGTTTTCTTCAGTAGCTGGTCTGATTTTTATGGAAGAATCGCTAAAGATAAATACAGGCAAATTGTTAAAGAAACTGATTATACAGAGCTTTTAGACTTGAGGTTGGGATGGAGGCTTTCCTTCAGTGGGACGAAGATGTGAACCAGAGCTACAATGGTACGGTTTAAATAAAAGAATACTCAGACATTATGATAGCCCAGTTAAAGTCTATGTTTAAGTGCAATTGAGAAGGCAACACTGGAAAATTGCTATGCACAGACATGCTCTGTCCATTCTGACTGAGCTTGAACTATTTTGCAAAGATGAATAAACAAGAAGTGCATTCTCTAAATCTCCAAAGCTGGTAGATGCACCTCCAGACAGCTGCAACTAATTGTGGCAAAATACAAATATGTGCAGGAAGAAGTGAAATTACTGACAGGGTATGAATAAGTGTTGTTACCTTATAAAAGCCTCCTTTTATTACAGTGAGTATTCTGTCTGCCTTTCCTGAGAGTTTAGGAAAGTTGATTTGCCATCTTCCCGGACAACACTGTTCTGAGTCATGACTATGCAGAATAACAATATGCATATATTTGGTGAAGCTACAGATCAAAAGCAACAGTGTACTGACATTTCTACATCAACATATTCACTGCAAATCACCTCCTGGTCATGTGATGCATTGTTTATGTAATGATATTGACAACAGCTGCTCTTTCTGTACACAGGATGTGTTTTGAGGACAATATTGAGTCACAATTTGGAAGCAAGTCCGACAGACTACACAATTACTTCTTTACAACAGGTATCAGGGCTCGACATGGGATCATTGACGTCATATAATGTGACATAAAGTTGTGCTTTGACTTAAGGCACAGGCTAACTCTGCAAACTCCTTCCAAACATCTGCTTTTGAAAAAAAAAATCAAGTGTATAAGAGACACTAATATCATACATTACATTACAAACTACAGCATGACTGTCACAACAAGTGTTGGGGAATAAAACAATCAAAACTCTCAATAAAGATGAGAAAGGTAGGTTTTAAAATTTAGATTATGCAGACAGTGTGGGGATCAGTGTTCTTGTGTTTTTTGCACAAGAAGCCCACATTTGATTTGCATTATTTTCTGGTTGAAATATATTTGCACTTTTAAATATTATTGTATAATGATTTTGTACATCTAAATGTTGCTATTTGAGAAAGTCCCATTATTAATTAACAAAATGAAATAGTTTAAAACCCTAAATTCAGTGTTTAGTTTTTGACAACTTGCATTGTAATACATTTTAAAGTAACTTTTTAAAGTTTGGTCTTTAATTTCTTTCATTAGAAATAAGAAACTTTTCATTTGAAACCTTGCTATCATCATAATCACTTCAGTTGAGTCACAACGATGACCTACTTTTTGACAAACTCAGCCAATAAATATTTGACAGCAGGGTCAATTTAGACTGTGTAAAGAAAATTAGCTCTAAATGCAACAGCAGAATGAAGGGTTGCGAATGGAGACTAGCACACAAACAGCATGCAAAATATCCACTTAATGAAAAAATGTGGAGAACTTCATGTTCCAAAATATGCACTCTATCTTTTTAAGAGTTCACTCATTTTCAATGTGTTTATAATTCCCTGACTCATTACTGCTATTGCCATAACACCAAGTTGATTCATTACAAAAACAGCATATTTAACCAGACATAGTTTTTTTATTAAAGCAAAGTTATTGTAATGGAAATAACTTTTTTTTTCCCAGTGTCACTGTCTGTGGTTTGTGCTTACAATGAACCTAAAGCAAAAAGTCAACTATCTTGATTTGCTAAGTATTTGTTTATTTCCAGCTGATGACTCTGTCATGGCAACACTAACCAGCATCACATGTTTTCCAGCCCTTGCTTGTTTTAATTTTTAAGCTTTGGTCCGTTTTCATTTGTTTGCAATGAAAAACATCCCACTAAGAGTGCACAAAAATAACTTCATACTATTGGGGAAAAAGTGTATTTCTTCAATGTGCCATCTTGGATAAATTACTCCTAATAAGCCCAGACTACTATAGACTGTCTTCAGCTGATGTGTTTCTCCTAGACTTTGTTGAGAAAGAAAGAAAACTTCTTCAACCTATTATTATCTTCGTGACACAGAGACACCAACAAAACCTTTGGCAAGTGTGTGTATATTTCCAGCTGCTGAATGAAATCTAAATATGGAACAGAAATAAAAGATCTGAGTTTGTAACTCTCTGCTCAATAGCAGTGATATATGTATTAACCTTCAGGGTGACGTTGGGTTAAAGAAAAATGAGAGACAAAAGTCTGCAATAAGAACAAATTTGATCATGTGTCACTTTTGTGGCATAGTTTGAGCTGAGTCATTTTTCATCTTCCAGACAAGCAGTATTGCATAATAATTTTTAAGAAAAAAAAGTGCAATAGGTTTTTTTTAATAAAATTTTTTTTTTAATGTTTTTTTCATGTTTTCTACAAATAAAAATTCTGAACTTGTGGAGTGAATTTTCGTCCAACCCACACTACTTAATAATTAGCAAATACATCTGGTGCAAAATGTTTTCCTCTTGTCTCATTTCACCAGAGCACCTTCTGCATGACTGATCACAAACAACAAAAATGACTTCTTATATCGTCTTTCAACAATGACTTCAGACCCACCCAGATGTTACCAAATTTGTGAAGCACATGACAAATACAAGTTTTACCATCTGACATATGAATGTCTGCAGCCGCGCTCCTAACGGCTGTCAGGTTTTCAGCTTTGGTAGAGTTTTTTTTTCTACTGAAGTCAAGTGACACAGAGGCCATAATGTTACTCCACAAACTCAGCATACAGTTTGAGAGGGAGTCCTCCGGCTGCGCCACACCACACGAAAAAAACAAACATAAATCTGAACCTTTAGCTCACTGGTGAACTAAATTCCTCACCTCTTCAGGGACAACTTTGAAGTTCCACATGCACTGTATGTCATTTTAGGGTGAGACAGTATTCCTTTCAAATCCCTACTGGAAGGTTAAGTGATGAAATCCTTAAGGCTTTTTTTTATTAGTATGCATCTCTGTCACCCAGTAGTGGTCAAAGTTAAGAGCTTGGGTGCTTCTTCACAAAAAGAAATAATTTGAAATCCTACACTACTCTGAACCGTAATAGGCTTCAAACACTGCAACAATGCTTTCCTCAACAGGAAATCATGCCGTGATTCATATGTCAAGATAAAGATGATTGTTTTCTAAAAAAACAAAATCAAATCGTTCCTATTTATTGTTTCTTCTTGTCATTTCCAGATCTGAATGTCCACCATTAATCACGGATAGCTGGTAAACAAAGGCATAGCTACACTGCAGTGTTGCCATCACGCTTGGTGGTCCAGTTACATCATTGCCTGAGATAATCTGATGGAGTCATCCTTTATGGTGCATGTCAGACAAACAAAAATCCGAAAGCTGAATAAGCACCACAGGCTACGGATGCAGGGAAATTAAAAGCCAGCTTTGGTT